TAAAAGTAAAAGGAAGAAATATAAAGTTGGTTTATTTGATCAAGGTTAAAATAGATAAGTTATTATCTCTGATAACCCTTAATGGACTTTTGCTGATCAAGAATGAAGAGGCTTTAAGGATTTGTTTATAGATATGGGATATGGGAAGAAGAAATCATTTGTTGTATTTTAAGAGAAGAATGATAAAGTTACTAAAATTGTTTATACTCGTGATGAAGGGGGAAGTAATTTCTTTATATATTTTTCTTTTTCTTTACTATATTCTTATATTTTCTTTTCTATTTTTTTCTTTTCTGCACTTTCTATTTTTTCATTCTTTTTTTTAGTTTGTATTAGTTTTTATCTTCTTAATTGTAATTTTTAATAAAATTACTATAAAAAAGGAAAATGTGAATATAAATCGCAGTTCTATTTTCTACCATGTCATGCCCTTTGTAAGACTCTATGAACATAAAAATATTTATTTTACTCTGCTGCTATTGATTTTCAGTTTTTCCTCTTGGCAAACATCAATGTTTTTTTATCTGGGAGCAACTGAATTCAACAATTTTCTTGTTATTTCCTCATCATTTCTTCCTGGTAGACTTAATTTATCTTTATAGGTGGTTAATGGTAGAATTCTGGGAATTATGTTTGAGACCTGTTGGAAAGCTTGCCAAGGCACAGTGCAAGATAAAAATGATCAAAACTGATTATTCCTGGTTTATATTTGCATTATAAAGTCAAGACATAACCCTGTTCCATTAGAATCAATGGGACTTTTGTTGCAGGATTCCATGGGAGATTAGCAAAGCAATACTATTCTGTGGAAGATAGGAGTTGCAGCTGCCACTTGCCAAAGATTGCTGGTGGTAGGTTTTCCCCTCTTTTTGGGATGGTTAAAGCTCTTATAACACACCTTATTTCATATCTGTTGCCACTACATTTATAATTGCAGAACTATAAATGCATTTTATAAGAATAATTCTGTAATTATAAATGAATCTAACAAAAATAACTGTTTTATGATAACTAGTATAATGGCTAAATTTGGAGTACAAAAAACAACATGTGAACAGTTTAATTTAACATTCAATTTAATTAAATTGACATTTCTCACCTTTCTTCAACGTGCCTAAGCAAATATTAAGGAAGGTTAGGATATTTTTAAATCAGGTTTCTAGGTGGCACCAATGTGACAAGACTGAACGTATGTAGGCAACATCTGCAAAAACTTCTAATATTTAGAATGCAAGATTTTACATTCCTCTTCATTATGAATCTTCCACAGTTATGCGGAAATGCAGAACCTGGACAGATCCCAGAATTATGGAATGCCTACTTTGGAAAGCAGTGAAAATATGAAATGTACAAAATAGTGAATTGTCAGAGACAGGTATAATAGAAATATAGCTACCACAGTGTTTTTATTAACGGAAGCACACTGTGAACTCATGAACTTAAAAAAACAGTACCTCTTTCTCCAGCACTGCATTCACTTTTAGATACCAATATTCAGAAATAGCATTAAAAGTTCAAATTATATTCTATATTCCAACAGGGTACAGGTCCTTTGAAAACAAATTTGGCAGCTTCCTTCAAGACCAGCTTCAACAGTTTCAGGATTGCAAATGTCCTAAAATGATTTTGGGCCAAATGCGTATTGTCCTCACAAACTGGTGCCTTCGTAAGTGATTAGGCTCCAGAAGATGATCCCTGGTAACCGACAATAGGAACATCTCATATACATATATGTTATATATATATCAGAAAAAGTATTTATATCTGAGTTCAAAGAGTGGAATCTATCTTTAAGTTGGAAAATATTTTCCTTCTTATGAATTACTTAATGTTTCAATCCACCTGAATGAAAATTTGTTGATCCACTCAGGGACAACAAATAAAAAGAACACCCTAAAACAGAATTCTGGATTTAGAATGATTGACCCCAAAGGAAGAACAGACAGGGGGGGAAAAAAAACTTTTGAGCATCCTTTACTGTATTATCAAAGAATCTAAGACGACACTGCTATTTAGAGAAAAAACTAGCAAATACAGCAAATAAAGTAATGTTAGGGGCTGGACATCCCTTATCAGAACAAATTCTAAACCAAATCATACAAGAATTAGGTATTAAGGAACTGAAATAGCTTCAGCTTCTTATATAAGCAAAACCTTATAACTGTTTCTAACAGAGACATTCTGCTTTTGCCTAGAGAGAACTACAGTAATTGAATGGTGGAGATTGGATCATCATTTGGGTTGTGTTCCCTATTGTTTTTCTCCTCTAATGGCTCTAAATTTACACCTTTTCATCAACATATAACTGTGAATCTTATTTGAAAAAGTGATGCTTAGGTTTCCAGTGGATTAGAAGAAATGCAATGTGGCAAATGAAAGACAAAGGCTGCTTAATGTAAACAAGAGTAAAAAAAACAGCCTATAAGCAATTAGTCTGTATCCAGATCTGTTATTGCCTCAGCCTTCCTTTAATTACCGCATTTTTCCGACTATAAGACGATACTTTTTTCTACAATCCTTACCCTAAAAACTGAAGGGCGTCTTATTCAAGG